ATATTAGAGTGTGGAAAATATATGGTTCCAATGAGTTAAAAAAAAATGGAAACTTGACTAATTTTTCAAATGACTCCATCAAGCGACCCCCACGAGATTCAATACGACTCGATTTGTAATATCTATGGAAGAACAGAGAAAACGATTCATAATGAGACCAAGTTAATTCTGTTGTACAAAACTGTAGTGATTGGCGATTTTTTTAAGTGCTTTTGATTCTCCCCTCCCTCTCTCATTTTAAGAGTTAGGGTGCATTTTTTGATCGAAATGATTGGGAATCAACTCATGAAAAGAGTTTTTTTTGACATCTATTGATAATATATATCAAATTCTCATACAACCTTGTCTTTACAATAGGCCAAAGCAAATACGACCACTAGCGGTCGAGCTAGAAAGTCGACAATAATTTCCAGATATTTCTCTTGTCCACAAATAATTCCGTTTTGTATACCGTAAATGACTGCATTCGAAAATCTGCCTTCTGCGATTGTTACAACTACTATTCAGTAATATTAATCGAAAATCAGATCAGAATTGACATGAGACGCTCTTTATTACCATGAAAATTGAAAATAGGAGGTCAAGTTGGAGTTTTCTGATAGGTTATGAACTTGTTCAACACCAGCTAGAGTATGATCTATGGTTCACCGGACACCCTGTATAATGTATATGTTATACACTTACCTAAGATTCAAATCTTCTGTGAATTTAACGCATGCATAAATAAACTCTTTAACTTCCCGGTATATTTTTGGAACCATACTTGAAAAAGGAAAACTATGTGGAAATGTTGAATGATCCGGCAAGTTTTCTTCCCATGGAAATGATAATAGAATCTCATTCAGTTGTTCTCGATCATAAACCTGTAAAAATAACATGTTTTGGAATTGTTTACAACGACAACAATCTACGTGTATTCCAGATAATAAAACAAATATGCATTCGCGAAAAATCTGGCAAAGTAAACTGAATCTGCACCCAATCTGAATTCGTGATTTAGATCCCCATTCTCCATTGAAAGAAAAATCATATATTTGTACGAAACACATAGGTTAGTGATTTGAATTGAGGGTCTGACGAAATGATAACAAGGAGAAGAATAATCATCTGACAGTGGTAGATGAGGCGAATCATAACAATAGCAAAATGACAAGTTCAACTTGTTGAATAGCAGTGCAAGCTTCTATACTTGCATAAATCTACATTGTATATGTAACACTTTGTAGTCTGATGTTTTTATGTTATATTCTGACTTTGACGATAAATATTGAATATTTCTCAAGCATACTCTTGTCATCAAGTTCTTTGTGTTATATCTGAATTAAAAAGGTTATGGACGATATTGGAACAACAAGTGGACATAACCTATGTTAGTACAAACGAGAATATGGCTGATATGTTGACTAAACCACTTAGCAGAGATTTAATGAATGAGTTTTGTTCGAATTTTATGGAAAATATGCACTGAGGAAAAGTGTTGAATACCAGTGCTAGATTCTATACTTGCATAAATCTACATTTTATATGTAACACTCTGTAGTCTGATGTTTTTATGTTATATCTGAATTCAAAACAACTATGTGTCATTTGCCACTTTTAACTCAATCAAGTATTCTCCTGAGGTGATTTGTTTCTTGACCGTTGTCGTAGATATACTACTGAACAGCCAAACCCTGACACCACGAAGTTGAATTATTTTCGAATACTTATTGAATGAAAATTGATGAATGGATTTTTTCGAATTTTTCGACATACATAAGTACTTTAAAAAGTCGTCCCATTTTGATACATTTCGGTATTAGAGGACAGCTTTTTACAATTTTTTCAAACTTGCTAAGCTTTCCATCCATACAATTATTATTCATTGCATTTCTTTCCTCGAATGGTTTTGAAGCATGCGGTGTTTTCTAAAAACGATTTTGTCATTCCTATTTCACCTCAGAGTGTTCATGGAAAGATGACTCGTCGTGCTTGGAAGTTTGATGAGAAAAATGTGTCATATATATATCCGAAATTATGGTCATGAAGATGATATGGTTCCCTATAGGGTATTCAAATGTAATTTGGCCACATCCTAAACTGCACATAACAAAATATCATGTGCTATTTGTTACAAACAACTAATTACTTAAAATTTCCAAGTATCCCAAACGTTAACGTAAATGAGATATTCTCTGGGAACTATTACTCACAGGTCGTGCGAAATTGGGAGTTCTCCAATAATTCTTCTTCGGAACTTTTACAGAGTGAAGTTTCGAGTGAATAACAAGAAGAAAATAACGCTAAGTTATCTGATTGTTATCCAAGTTTTAATAGCTGACAGGGTGTGCAAAAAATCAACATTTCTCGAAGATAACGATCAACAATCAAAACACCCCATAAGAGATATTCAATTGGGATTGCAGAGTGTGGTAGGTACTCCACTATAATCAAACACACTATTCCCTGTATAAACATGCACCATAAACCTTTATTCCAATTCGAATAAACATTTGATTATGGAATATTAGAATAAATAAACCTAACGAAAACAATAGTCACTCTCTGCCTATCACTGCGAACGACTCCAGATAGTCCCAATCTTTGCCGGTTATTTCTCGTTCAGTCGCTCTTCACGGCGTCATCCATAGTTGCCACCGGTCTGCACATTCCGTCCTCCTTGTTCAGCATGATAGGGTCAACTTTAGGGCTTGGATAGTTCTCTTATTCATTTCTGGGGATTGGATGAATGATGGTGAAATGTCTTGTGGCTGTACAGGGTGTCCCCCTATATTTTGACCCCCACCTATAGCTTCAACTATACGAGGTGGAAAAACCCACGTATATGAAAGTTGTAGGGTTTGATCTACACTATCTTTCAGCACTCCTCAAATAAACAAATGCGAATCGCGAATAGAAAAAAAAAGAGTTCTTATCATTTTTTAATAATGGAACACCCTGTATATTTTCAACTGTTGTGGAAAATCTTTTTCTGTTTTTAAATACAGGGTGTTATTTAAGTATGTAGCCAAACTTCAAGGGGTTATTATTTGGGTGATTCTATGACGAAAAGTTCATGTAAACATAGGTCCAGAAACGATTCGTTTTCATGATACAGGGTATCGAAGTTTCGATATAAAATCGTTTTTTTATCAATTACTCAAAATAATGTTTTTCAATTTGAAAGAAACTTGATGTTTTTGTTAACAGTAATTACATTCGAAGTAAAATAATCCCAGTGGCGTCGCAGTGGCTTACCATTTCGATTTGTATGGTGAATAAGGCACCTACGCCATAGTTTTTTCCAAGTTCGATATTTTTATCAGACTGTACAATCGAAAATACAACTTTCTTGTCCTTTATTACATCTTTGTTTATCACTTAGTTTCTGAGGAAATAATGAAATACTTATTTGTCCCCAAATTCGAATATAGGTGCCCTCAAATCACTCATTGGAATCACTCAATAACCTCAATGAGTATTATTATGAGATTTTGAGATTTTTCTAGTCACTAATCAGACTAAATTTTCTCATCATGGAAGCTTGTACAGGGTAATCATGAAAAACAACGATCAATACTTCCAACTTCAACTCCCTATATCTTGAAAACGAAACATTTTAGGATCCATGTTTATAAGAACATGTTGTCTTTGAATCACCCAAATAATCGCCCCTTAAAGTTTGGCCACATACTTAAATAACACCCTGTATAGTTTGCTAATGTTTCCTTAAGCCGTTTTCGACTAAGTTCTGACTGCAACACTGAAATATCTGCAATATTTCCATAATATAATCTTACTATTTCGTTTTTCCTCTACGGAACAACAAATATTGATACAAAAACCGACAGACATGTCAAAAAAATGCCTGTTTAATTTCCATGACATTTCTGGTTTGTTTACAGCCATCTATATCTAAATGTTATTGGAAACTTTTATTCAATGCTAAGTAATTGAAGAATGGCTCGAGTGAAATTTTTTCTTGCCTACTTTCAATTGATAACGCGCAATAGACCATTACATAACCAAAATAGTTCTATTCTTGTCGAAATTTACAGTTTCTCAATGTTGACGTGCCTCAACAAATCTTCAACCTAATCGGACATTATACTTATGGACATAGTAACAATCTCTTCTTCTTTTTCATAAACTAGCTGAAAAGTACAATAGTTATAAATCATAATAACACACCTGTCAATTGACACATTCCTAACCTAAAAGAATTCGAAGAATTGGAAGAATTCGAAGAATGTGAAAAATGTGACTTGCGGAAATTACTTTTTTTTACCCAATTTTGAATTCAAATTTACAACAAAATAAGTAACAGTTGATTTTAGATGTACAAATGTTAGTCTCCTATGTGTCTACGTAATCAATTTCACACAATATATCATTCTTTCCCATTTTTTTGTCTTCTTTCTTTCCGCAAAGTCAAGGTACAGATTGTCGAACTTTCTCAATAACTCAGTTTCATGACATGGCTCTCTTTGTTCCTTGTTCATTTCTGCCTGAGGAAAGTTATGCTCATTACTGTTAAAGCTTAAGTACATCATCACTACATCATGGTTCTATCAACCTATAATTCTTTCTTGGGCAGAAGTGAGGAAGAAGAAGATAATCTAAAAATTGACCAACGTGATATAAACGTTAACATGATTTTTAATGTCTCGATTTGTGATAAAATTATTTTTGATTAATGTAAAAAATTATGTTAGAACCGTTTTTCGCTGAAAATATACAGGGTGTTTCATTTAAAAAAACTGATTTGGGACTCTTTTTCATCATTTTGCGATTCGCATCTGTTCGTTAAAGGAGTGCCAAAAGATGAAATCCTACCTTGTATAGTTGAAGCTGTAGGTCAAAATATACGGAGACACCCTGTACCTGTACCTAAGTCAGTTGGTGAATGATTTGAAATTTGAGTTCTCTTGTTCCGGCAATGTGCCACATGTCGCTTGGATAATTCTCCATCTTTCATTAAAGATACTTGATCTCCTCTTCTTTCAATCACTTTGTACTACTTATTCCGAAATCTGCTTTCCAGCTTGTTCGAAGTGGCCACATTTCTCGTTAACACCTCATCACCAACTTTGATGCCATCTTCGGACCTCTTTGCATTATCATGCATTTCTTTTTCATTTTGGTTTTTCAAAATATTATTATCTCTCGCATCTTCGTCTCCCTCGTTGAATATGAGTTCGACTATGAATGGAATCTTATCCAAAAATCCAGGGAAAAAAGAACACCAAAGTATTCCAAATGAATCAATCGGAAAATTCAACTAGTAGGTATATCTAAGAAACAATCGAAAAACAGGCAATTATTTTTCAGTTCATGTTTCAATTTTCGATTTTTATTGTCAATTTTGAGAATACGATTTTCATTGAATTTGAAGTTGAAAAAAAATATTATTTCATTCAGAGAACTCAAAAAATACAAGTTGATAAATTGTCACAATTGAATGATATGATTTTTTTCATGAATATGATAACAAGGGGGCAATTCTCCTTCTATGTTTTTGTATTGAAGAATGATAATCCAAAACTACCAAGTTTTCAAAAGAAAACAAAATGCCAAGGAATGACTCAAAAAACAGTGAATGTGTTGGTTGCTATGAAAAACTCATTTCGTAAGAGTAGAAACTTTATACCGACTACTTGAATAAAAAATACAAACTCTAAACAAAAATGGGACAACATTTTAAAAAAACATCAGCAAGCAAGAAAATAACTATAAGTAATAAGAAGGGAGTGGAAACTATCGAAAAAATAAACTGGACTTACCTGTGATTTGTCACACAAACACACGTTCACAAAATAAGTATCTATTTTTCAATCCAAGAAAATGAACAATTTTTTTTTCATTCTTATATTCCTGTATTAAAAGCATTGAGATATACAGGATGTTCCTTAAAGACATGCAAATATTTGAGGGGGTGATTCTCTGACTCATTTTAAGAAGAAAACTTATGAACGTATGTCCTGAAAGTCCTAACTTTTGAGATACAGGGTGATGAAGTTTTGAAAAATATTCAGTTTTTTGATGATAACTGAGACAATATTGTATACATCTTTTTGCAATTTGGTACACGTCTTTTATGTATCAAGGTGCATTTTTTGATGTACAAACATTTTCATTTTCTCTACCAGTGGCACCGTTACGGGAAAATTATTGTTTATATCTTACTTAAAAGTGAGCAACGACGAAAATTTTTTAAATTTCATACAATGCTATGAAAAGGCTATTTGATTATGTATAAAAAAGATCCTCTTGTTGATACTCGATAGAACGCTTCGTTTTCGAGAAAAAAACGGAAAAACGAGACCAGACTTCAAATTTTAATGTTTGAGTTTTCCATCCAGGACATCCATTACTGGATAACCACCGTATGTAACATTTTCAAATTTTTATACCGATTCAGTCACATAGCAGACTGAATTTTGCCATCACGAAAAGCTATACAAGGTGGACAAAAAATAATCATGCATATTTTCAGCATTGACACCCTGTATCTCAAAAGTTAGGACGTTTACGACATATGTTCATAATATGACGTTTTATTCTTAGAATGGGTCGAAGAACCGACCCCCTGAATATTAGCATATCATTAAGGAACACCCTGTATACTATGATTTGAAAAGTTTTAATAATCTTTACCAATATTTCAATTGATAACGATGGTACAAGCCCTTTTCAGTCTTATCGTAGTGAGCAGGGTGATTGATTATTTTTCGAAAAGTTTTTTGTTTGACATGTAACAATCATTACATGTCCATGAAGTTGATCTATTTTTCTATCGATAAGAATATAATAATATGAATGATTTTCCGAAGGGTGATACATTTTTTTTCGAATCATTTGTTTCGATAATCAGCATATTTTATCTATACTTTTGTATCATAGAAGATTGGATGGAGATCACGCTTTGTAAATGGAGTTGATCGATTTCCCAATCGATGACGGAGATTCACAGATACTGTTCTAGAATTTGAACACCCAAACATACGTTGATATTCTTAGATTCCATCCAGAGACAGGCCATTTGCCTGGTGGGTGATGCCACACTCACTTATTCCGATGTACAAAAAAGATCCTCTTGTTGATACTCGATAGAACGCTTCGTTTCAGAGAAAAAATGGTTGAACGAGACCAGACTTCAAATTTTGATGTCTGAGTACTCCATTCAGGACATCCATTACTGGATTACCACACCACTGGATGAAATGTTCATACCGATTCCGTCACAATCATAGCAGACTGAATTTTGCCATCACGAAAAGATACAGGGTGGACAAAAAAAGAATATATGCATTGACACCTCGTATCTCAAAAGTAAGGACGTATACGAGATATGTTCATATGAAGTTTAATTCAAGCACCAATATGCCGACTAATCATCATCAATATTCAAACGATCCATAGCGACTGGTGTTATTCAATGAAGAACATAACGATATTCAATTTTATTTTATTTTCACAAACAGGAATACAAATAGGACGATCCCAGAGACAGTATTCCCGTATAGGTATACTAAGTATGTCATGTTGTTAGGTATTTAATTCCATTATACAGTGCAAAGATTTTATATATTTTATATTTAAAAGGAATATGTGTTTAACTTATCATCATTTGTATGTTGGAACAAAATGTTTCTTGAGTTTGTTCACAAAGATTGTTGAAGAGTCGGAGAAAATATCAATCTTTATTATGTTTGAAATGGAGTTATAACTTTTCAGGCATCTATGTAAAGGGGAGTTGAGATAGTAATTTGTGTTCGGTATGGATGAAACGAACAAGTTATAATAGCGAGTGGAATATTGTAATGGATCAAGGTATTTATAGATGAGGAATGAATGATTCCATTTATCATTTTGAAAGAGAATGTGATATCAGCGATAGCTCTTCTGTCAGCAAGACTAATCAAATTTAGTTTTAGAATTACGAAGTGATTTTGTGGCGTGTTTTTGAAATATTTTTTGTTGATATAAGCAATGAATTTTCTCTGGATACTCTCTATATTTGTTTCATGCATATAATATAGTACGGATTTCCAAATGATTGAGCCGAAGCCTAGCAGACTATTCACATATGACATATGAAAAGAGTACGCAAGGTATCATAATCTTTGAAAGGATAACTTGTTTTTGAAATTAAACCTAGTATTCTTTTCGCTTTCTTAGAAATGTGAGAAATATGTTTATTGAAAATCATTATCAGATAATGATCCTATATGGTATTGTTACGTTATTCGGGTGCAGAAGCGAACACGACACTATTTATTTTCGAACTGATTTATTTGAACTATAGAAACACTAATTTATAACGAACTTAGAACTACTATTTATGTAAAACGATTTATATCACGCGGTATATAACTGTCTTTCTGACACTCGCTGCTCGACTCCCCGACGGCAGTTATTCGGCCGTTTATATATGAGATAACTAGACAGGCTTTGGTTCGAGAACCTTCTCGAATGATCTTCCGTCTCCTTCTTTTTGTTCTGGAAGCTTCTTAGAACAAACCTCTCTCTCTAATTGTTCCATCGATTGTTTCCAGAACATTCCAGAATCTTCTGTGACGTTATCTGTCACCGCGGCATATATTGAGTGTTCGGAAATATGCTAGTGCATTGGGAGGTAGGAGAGCAATCTGGGATGCGTGATACAGGATGATCGTTGTACTCCTGCCTTCCTGATGATGTTTCTAAAGCCCCTCCAAGGGGAATATCATTACAGTATAGTTATGAGTAATTACATTAGAGTTTCTACTAAAAGTCATCTGATGGCATTTGGTGAGATTCAGGAAGAGGGAGTTATTTCTGCAGTATTCTAAGAATCGATCAAGGTCCTCTTGAATGGACATACAATCATTCCAATGTGAAACTATATGAAATATGTCAAGATCATCAGCATACATGAGGAAATACGAGAATTTGAAACATTCAGAGATGTCATTTATATAAATATTGAAAAGTAGGGGACCTAGATGTGAACCTTGAGGAACACCCTACGTTATATTTTTTTTGGACATTTAATAAATTTAATCATTTCAACAAAATATACAAATGCACAAAATATATATATAAGATGGCCATAAATACTATCACAATTACAAAATCATAAGGATAGTTATACAGTGTATCTATCTAATAGTCAAAAACGAAAATCAAGGTTGGCAATAAGTTAATATTGAATGCACCTAGGTGTAGAACACCTGTACTGTACGCCTATGGCACGTAGAGAATAGTCGATATATATTTGGGCTCCCGATATTTTTATAGTTTCATAGAGAAATACGGCATATAAAATTAAAATTTAAAGATCACCCCACAAAGTGAAAAGTTGTGATTCTATAAAGTGGAAAATTCTGATTGAAAATATGGTAATAACACGTGAAAACAGAGAAGAAATCGCTCAGTCTGTGAATGAAGCGATTAGGAATACCATAAAAACTGAGTCTTTTCTGAAAGAAATAGTAAACAAAGTCACAGATGCAGTACTGAATTCAATTGAAGACAAATTGATAAAACTAGAAGACACAGTGACGGAGTTGGCAGAAAATTATAAAACGCTAAATGAGAAATATGAAAATAATATGCAGCAATCAAAGGAAGAAAGACATATAAATTGGAAGAAAAAGTTGATCAAATGGATCAAGCGAACAGGTCAAACAACTTGAGAATTTTCAATCTCAAAGAAGAAGCAAAAGAAGATACCAGAGAGATAGTGAAGAAACTATTTCAAAATAAAATGTCTATCAGTCTCACTGATCAAGAAATCCAAATTTGCTACAGGATTGGTAAAGTAATTACTGCTAAGCCGAGAGGAATCCTATTCAAATTGAATAAGGTTGAAACTAAGCAAATGATATATAAAAAGAAGAAACTACAGAAAGGAACAGGAATTGTTGTGAAGGACGATCTAACTAGCTTTAGGGTCTCTTTGATGAATAAAGCAGTATAAAACTAGATTTAAAATCAGTGTGGACGGAGAACGGGAAAATCTACATCAATAAAGATAACAAAATATCCATTATAAAAAGAAAAAAAGATTTTGATAACATATTTCACTAATTTTAGACATTGAAAAAAAAACACATTTATAAATATGCATAAATAAATTTTGAT